CATTATCTTTTTTTCTGGTAATTGGCATCAATGATATTGAGCAGCACTAATATATTCCAGAAGCTCTTCGGCAATGGGGATTAAAGCTTGGTTCTCGAGTTGAAAAAGATGTATTTATTTATTATAATAACTTTAAAATCTTTAGAACCAAACCCCACGTGTTCAAAACTTGCGAATGAACTCCAACCCACACATCAATCAAAATCTTCCGCTAAAATCCTGGTGATCAAGTGAAATTAATTGTTCTTCACCCGTTTGCTTGCGATTTCTTGTGATGCCTGGAGGCAGAAAAAAAACATAAGTTGCATAAAGATGCTTGGGGAATAAAAGAAAATAATCACGGAGTTCTTTAAAGGAAAGCTGCTTAAACAATATCAGAAGGTTTTTCGAACAATACAAAATTCGTCGAAAATGCAGAATGTCGCTGGACTCTTGTAGGAAGAGTTCGCCTGTATCTGGTAAATGTTGTTGGCCAGAAATCTGTAAATTACCCAAAAATAATTTTGTTTCATGTCTTTATTTGCATGAGCTTCGCCATTCATCAGTGTATTTTAAAATGCACTGAAGGAAACAAAATCATATCGCGACCTGATGGTCTTTTTGCGAATTCAGTAAGATAACTGGATGAACTCATGATATTGTTTGTTCTAGTACTGTTCGATTTTTTTTTTAATTTTGGGGCGCCTTTCTATTTCCGTCAAGGTAATAAGCACAAAGTGGTTCATTCTCCTATATGCGAGGTAAGAGGAATTTTTTAAACTTTTAAAGCATTATGGATGGGTTTTAAAACGTTTAAAGCATTATTAAAGCTTTATGGAAGGCTATTGGATATTAAATACGACAGATTTCCTGTAATTTAATGGGGTTCTCTGAGATGAACAGTATCGAAGAATTGCATGGTTGTATTTTTTTCGTATGCATCAGACGAGAAATTTATGTTTTATATTGGGCATCTGCCTGAGGCTCGTATGGCACATTGAATATTGCTCAATATTATTTTTTCCGAGTTTGCGGGTCAATTCCGCGGAACTGCCAGAAGACCGGGGACCGAAGTTCAAGAGTTTTCTGGAGCAGACCCGCAACTCGAGTACCCAAGCGTCCTTTTCAGTGGTGGGATGTTTGTTGACTGCTGTGTTTTCTCGAATGACGTATGATATGTTCGTTCTTCTGTGCCGTGGCAGTTTCCGTAGGAGTCTCGGACATTGTTTACTCTGTTTTTTCACGTCTTCCTCCAAGTTTGCACCTTCTTTCCGCGTAATTTTTTTTTTTTTTCCTGCGTTGTGGCCCGTTGTTCTTTGCACGCTGCCGGCCTCAAAGGCGTCCTTTTCGTTGTTCAACTCGTGTTGTTCTCGCGCTGTGCAATAACTTGAGCTGCGCTTCGCGGGAACTTTGTAAATACTTCCCGACCTTGTTTGCCGAGTACGGCTCGGCCTCATCATCATTCTTCCCGACGATCTTCTCCGGACACCGACTAATAGACCGATGAAGTGCCGGCTGAGCCATGGAAATCGCTGTCAACAACAACGATCTCATTGCTTGTCTGCGAAAGATAAGAGCCCGTCGCTGACATCACTTGGCCATCAGATAGTCGTTCCTCACCGAACCTTCAGTAATCATTATTTCACGGTACAACGCTTTCTGCGCTCGCAGGGCCCGCCGATTCAGGTCTCAACTCTTCGCGTCGTCTCAATTTTATGATTTTTATTTTCAATCTGGCTCGACTTTGTTCTTCTCGAATCTTGCTGATCACTTTCTTTCAAGCGCACACTCCTAAAAATAAACCGAGGGGAAGACTTTTTCTCTTATTCCAGCTATTCGTTCGTTTTTAAGCGGGGATGGAAAGTTTCACGCCCAGCGAAGTTTCCGCATTTCAAATCGCATTTAGTTCTCCTGAAGACAGACGGGCTGAAGGGCTTTAAAGGAATTGCAATTAGCAAATGTAAAAGTTCATTTCCACCAAAGTACATCTGGAAACTACAGCATTCGTGTGAAATAGCTGGGATAGATTTTGAAGAGTCAAACATTGGAAGACAATCACTAAACACCGTATACGTATATATTTCATATATGGATCATGAAGATCCAAAATAATTATGGCAAACCGTCCATAGCCGACGTCCCATTCATAACGAGCTATCACTGGAGAAACTTAAAATAATTGCTCTTTCCTTGCGTGGTGCGTGTAGTTTTCGTGTATGATCAGCAAAGACAAGTTTCAATGTTTGATATCTGTCTCCGAGGAGTTATTTATTACCGAAACTTTTTCTCCGAGAAATGCTTAACGAGGCGTAAAGTGAAGGTCTTAAATCTTGTCTTCTGATATTAATTTTTCTGGAAAAATTTAACAAGAGGGAGACTAGTTTATTTCCAGATCCACAAAGCTGGTATTTTTTAAAGATGAACTTCACATGAATAGAAGACCTTTCTAAAAACTATTGTATGGGCTCAAAAAATCGGAGTGCGTCTCGTATTGTATTCGATAGAACGAGGACTGGCAGATTCACTGGTGAAGTGTGTTAACACTTCTGAAAACACAATGCTTGAAAATAACTCATCCAAACGAATCATTATGGTGCCAACAATTTCAAGTCAAAAGGCGCACGCCTGATTTCTCTTGGAAGAGGTTTTTGAGTTGAGTTTGTAAATGTAGCATGACTAGAATCCGCAGACTTCTTTGATTCTAAACGAAATAAATTCGGTGAAAATGCGTCTTACATTTGCTGGCAATTTTTTTTTTTTTTTTTTTTTTTGAGTCACACGCACAGAGGTGCGTCTTATATTCGATGGCTCTCAGGAAGTAATTCAGGAACCGATTTACTCCTGGTGCTGACTACAAATCTTCATTATCCACAATGAACGGCTCGTGGTGGATGGTTCTATTTTGGTGATGCCAGCGCATGTAAGATGATGAATTCGCGAAGGTGTAAAGCTCGTCTTGCAGATTTTCGTGAAATGTTGTTAAAGCGCGCCTCGCAAATGGCTCTACGGACGCGGAGACGGAATGCAATTAGCTTGAGTGCACCTCAGCGCGCATCGGGAATCATTCGAACGAATCTTTGCATCGGGTTCAAGGAAACGCGGGGACTCGAGCAGCGATGCGATCCGATTTTATTACCTCGATAAAAGCGTCGGGAGCAGCCTAGTTTCCCACTTCCGAGCTTCCTCCGAGGAAAAATGTTGTTGTTCGCATCTTAATTACCGGTGGACTTCGAGATGTTGGTTCACACGGGGACTGCGGGACAACCAATGGTTTTTTTTTTCTTCCGCGGACTCGAGGCTTCCGGGGTCGGTAATTGATAATCCCCGCGTGGCCGGAAAACTAGGTGGTCTTGCACAAGTGTCGCGGCTTCTTTGGTGCCGACCTGTTGTTTGGGTTCAGTGTCACTGCGCGGATGACGAGTCCGGAATGCGGAGTACCGAAGGGAAGTGCGGATCTCTCGAGACTGCGATGATTCCCTGCGACCGGCATCTCGTTTGTTCCGTGGGATTATTGAAATACGGCATTCCTGGGGCACGGAATCGTTAATCACCGCACCTGTCGATGCTCGGCGGGGCAAAAAGGCCGGATTCGGGAAACTGGGGAGGGCTAATTGCCGCATGCGTTTTTCGCTGCTAGAAACGACCGCCGGGCCGGGGTTCATGTTTTATTCATCCGGTGCTGGGCCGAGTGCGAGCCAAGGACAACTGAGCGTCGTGACACCTCAGCGTTTGAGACAACTGATCGTCAGCCACCTTTCAACAACAGGGTCACTACAGTTTCAATGATCCCTCGCCGTTTTAGCGTTCCTTCCCCTCAACCCGAAATCTCCTTCCTTCATGAAAAAAATGTAATTATAGTTAAACCTCGACAACTCGAACCTCCATAAGTCGAAATTTTTTCAAAGTCCCTCTCTGAATTTCCGTAGAAACAATGCATTAAAACATCCCTAGCTTCAAGGTTTTTCTCCTCAAATTTTCTGAAGGCCTTCTGGCTATGGTTTTATTGTCACAAGGAAGAGAAAAGCAATAACAATTCAACTTGATGTTTTTGGAGGGAAGTGAAAGACGTATTGGGCTAATGAACCCTAGCCTCCACATTCAGGGTTCTGTCAACTCATTTAATAAAAAATTCCCACACACCTAGATTTCCTAGAACAGTGTTCCCCAACCCCTGGTCTGCTGACCAGCACCAGTCCGCAGATGTTTTTTTTTTTTTTTTTGGTTTGGCAGACAAATTTTCAGCATAATACATGTATCAAAAGTAGCAATGAAGTCTGTGATCTTTATCTGAAATTTTGAAAAGGCACTGGCATTTGAAATTATCCAATGAAAAATAAAAGTTGGATTTTCTCTTAATAATGCTCCAGACAAATTTTCACCTGCTGAAAGCAGTTTTTTTATATTTTTCATTCTGTGAAATTTTTCTTCAAGCCCACCTTTATGATTTTTTGAAGACATTCCACTGAGGTTGGTTCATTGGTCCTTGACTTGATTTTTCAAAAAAGGAGAAACTTTTTAATTCCTGCCATGAATTAACTCAAACATAACTTTTTTGAGTCTGCCCAGATGCCTGTCTTACAACTTTGCCAGTCTTTACAAATTTTATTAAACTTTGCCAGTCTGCAGAAATTTTTTGGAAATTTGCCGGTCTGCAAAAAGTTTTATGGACATGTTCAAGTCTGTGAGCCAAAAAGATTGGGAAACGCTGGCCTAGAACATCACCAATTATAATTTGCTGGAATTCTTATTCCTTCCCTTCCGGCACAAATGCTAATTCCCCTAACTCTAAACTTTTTATTAGTCCCTTGAAGCTCGACTTAAAGAGGTTCTACTGTATCCTGAAACGTCTATCAGTTGTTATGAAAACAATTTGACTGTCCAGAATCCGATATTTCATCACTTTTGGTTGTCCAATACTCAGTTGTCCTTCAGGCGCTCAGCTGTCCAATGATCAGTTGTCCGTAACGTTCACGTGCTCATTCCAATTTCCTGTTCTAATATCGTTGTGTTCTTTTTTGCAGCGACAGGCTGTGACGGGGTTACAGGACATTCAAGGTTGAGACGAAACGGGTCGTGACGTATCCGACACCAGCTGCTATAGGACACGACGGGCCTCGTCGCATGCAAACTCGTCTCATCGAAGGAGATCGGATCACGAATGTCCGCGGTTAATTCCAGTATTTCGCTTTGCATCGATTGGACCCTGCGGAACCTTCGACAGTGTATTTGCAAGTGTGCATATCGTGTTTTCATGTCAATTTGTCGATTTGTGTCAGCAGGCAAGGACGAGCAACTTTGTCCCCCCCCCCCCCCCTTTTTTTTTTTTTTTTTTTTTTTTTTTTTTTTTTTTCTTCCTTTNTTTGTCCCCCCCCCCTCCCTCTTTTTTTTTTTTTTTTTTTTTTTTATGAGTAGGCCGCTTTCTACTGCGTGATTTTTCCCGAAGTGTTTACTGAGTGTCATATTTCCCGGGTGCGTTTAGGACGTGCATTTACGGCATGCGATTGACCGCAACCAACTCACGAATAGCGTCGATGTGGGTGTTACCAGATGTGCTATCGGTCCCTTTTCGGACCTCCTGCGAAACTGATTATTCGCAGCATGGCATCCACCGTAAGCAGAGTGTTTGAGGAAGTTGTAATGGGTACACCGCGGTTGAGAGTTTCAAGAAAAGGGATCGGTTCTCTTTGTGATAATGAGAGTTTGCGGAAGAGCGCGTGTGCAGGAACATTTTTGGAATGTGTCCGTGGTCTCCCTCCCGCCATTCCTCGTTTTTATTTTCTTACCTTTCGAGAAGAAGGGCTAGCGTGTAAGGACTGAGCCGGGAGAATGCGATCGAATGGGAAGGAAGCTTTGTTCCTTTTGGTTTTTGCGTGAAATGGTTCGTGGGAGGATGGAGATTTTTTTTTTTTAGGCAGCGCGAAACGCGTCCGCCGGAAGTGTACATTGATGCATTGATGCTGAGTGTTGTCGAAACGCTGATTTGGTGACAAGTCTGTTTTTTGGAGAAGAAGCAACGTCCTCAATTCGACTGCTACAAGAAGACGATGGGGAGGCACGCTTGCCAGAATCTAGTCAGCGGTTTATTTTTCTGGGTGTCCATACGGCTAGGATGTCTATCGCATCACCTCGTCGCTTTATTTTGCGTTGATGTTTTTGAAGGAAATGTTCGTTTTTTTGTGTGTGTACAATTAATCGGAAGAATTGGTGGGGCGCAACGCATAGGTGTCTCGAATCCAAAATGTTTCTTCTCGCGGCTTCTTTTTTATAGACAGTGAGGCTTCTTTGCGCGGATCACATTATCGAATGATACGAAATATACGCTCCTGCTTTTTAAAAGCGTGTAAGTTTCTTTTTCCGAGGAAAGAGCTGAAAATTTTTGCCGCATGAATATTCACGACCCGGCGAAGGTCAAGGAAAACTTCGTTCACGATTTACTCGTTTGTAAGAACAAATCAGCAAATGCAAATGGAAGTATGCAACCTTCCCTGGGACATCTTCAAAGGAGTAAAGTCCTCCGTGATGAAGAAGAATGAAAGTGCCTCTCATGCAAATCTTCGCTCAGACTGGGGCATAATGGCTCTTTGATTGCTCCTCTAAATTTCCCGTGGATACACCTGTCCGCATTACGCTCCTGTGGAAATATCTCTACCTAGAAGTTATTTTTCCCTCAAGTTCTCCTCTTCAATTCAGTGCATTATCTTCGAAGTACAGGACGGAATGTCCGATGCTGTTGTATTAAATCTGCGTTTCTTCTCGATATCTCCAATACGAATCCGTCACTCAGCCACAAAAAAAAAAGTGCAGTTCAACCTTTCCAAGTCAAGTTTTAAGGGACCAGTGAAAATTCGACTTGGAGAGGTTTCAAGTTAGGGAAAGGAGCATTTTTGTTGTGGGAAACATAAAAAAGTGCAGGAAATTGTAAACGGTGACATTCTGGGCCTTAAATTGCTTCTTAAATGAATTGACAGGATGCTGAATTGGAGACAGAGGTTCATTTACCCAATTAGTCTTTCACTTCCTTTCAAAACACATCAAGCTACTTTTTTATTGATTTCCTTGTTTCTTTGTCAAGAAAAAATTGCCGAAAGGCCACAGCAAATTCAATTCAGGAAACTTTGAGAGTACAACACTTCAAGTTGGAGAGGTTTTTAATGCCTTGCCTCCAAGGGAATTCAGAAATAAATCCGATTTATTAGGGAGGTATTCGACTAGGGGGTTCGAGTTATCCAGGTTTAACTGCGCATCAGAAAAGTCTTATTCAGCTTTGTTGAACAAAGATACAGCGTAAGTAAGTCGCATTTACCTTTTTTTTTGCAGAATAAAAATATGAGACTGAATATGGTTCGACAAAAATAAGTACGGTAAGTGACCACCCCAAGTATTCATCCGACTTCCATTTTTTTCCTGTGACTAGCGTCTGCGAAGTTGAAAGGTTACAGAAACGCCGCTTGTTCTCCCTCATCTTAGCATTTATGCAGTACTTGCCGCCGATGCATTAGTTTTTGTCTCGCCAATTAATTCACACACATTTAAAGAAGTGGTCAACGGAAAGCAATGAAAAAAACAGTGACCAGGAACTTTTCTCCAATCCCATGCTCTCATGCTGTGCTTTGATGCAGAGAGGGAATGTACTTGTGTGTATCACATTTCGAATCCAACGGAATGAAGCGCCTTCGGTGGTTCAAACGCCTCGTAAAAAACTGATAAATGCTTCTTCGAAGGATTATGATTTCTCAGCTTTACGAATTTTCTTCCGCGATGCAATGGGCTCTTATGACGTGTGTTCCAGTGAAAGCGAACATCTGTTGTGGCTTCAACCGCTTCTGACTTGGATGTTTAGGTTTCAGAACAGAAAAGCTTCGCAATTTTTGCTGAATGAATTGACGAGCTAGTGGAATGGATAATCAAAATAGCGAATTTTATGCGTCGGTCCATTCTGAAATAATACAAGCTATCATGTACGAAGTGCAGTAAAATGAAATATACTCGCACGTCGACTAATGAGCAGTCATCCTAATGCGTTTATGTCATCAATAACAAATAACCCTCCAGAAACGCTGGTTTTTTTCTAGTGTATCGCTTGTTTGCTATTCTTTCTTCTCTCATTAAAAAAAAAAACAGTGATAGGAAAGAGAAGGGTAGGTCTTGAGAAAGTAAAAGTACGGGAGATGTTTTTTGGGTAACTTTTCCACTAACTGCAGAAACAACACTTACTCGGGATCCTTGGGTTAGTTCTATGAATAACATCCAAGACTTTCGAAAAGTTTTAATGCTCATGAGACTGTTTTTCAGACACTCGAAGGGTCAAAGAAAGCCTTCGCGCAGAATTAGAACACTAGAAATTCTGACGCATCATCTTTCCAAATAATGGAGTGCCCTGGCTTTTGCATTTCAAAAATATGATTTGGGTTGTCCGAATTCACTTTCATGCAACGTCAGAAATTCAAATTTATTCTGCGCTGTGAAGTAAAAGTCAATGGTTCTGAGTTCGCCGAAGAGATCAGTCAGTCTGAACTTTATTCCAATGCGCATTGAATACTTTTTCCACTGCTAGAGATTAAATGCTTAGCATCAAATGGAAGTACAGCATAAGGCGTTTTTATGATACCGTAAAACTGATAATTCTTCAGCTCTCCGTCGACCTTTGCTTGAAAACAGCAGGGCTTCCTAAACCACCCTGCGTTTTTGAGGTTCGCGGGGAACTGGCACGTGGAACCCGTACATTTTTTTTGGCATAAATGTAAGAAAAATTTGCTATCAAAGCCTGCTGCACAGGAAAACTCCTCCTCAAAATTTTATTCACACGCCATTTTCGGTGCTTCATCACCATCACACGTTGATGCTTATAAAGTGTTCACAAAAAACTTGACAAGCTTTGAAATAAAGTACCAGGATCGGGTCTTAAAATAAAATACTTCACAATGAGTCCCACGTATTAAAACTAATCTGTTCCCACAGGTGTTTTGTTGCGCGGGCTTTTTGGAATCAAAAATGCTATTTCCCTTGATATTGATACATTTTACAAAATGTAATTCATTCCCAAAACCATAAACTTGATGCTAATAAGGCGATGCGATCCTGATCAGATTAAAAAGGTCACATGTTTCCCAACCATCTACACTGAAAATTTCCTCCCTGTCTTGGCAAGAGTTGAGTGATCTACATTTTACACTGTTTCTTTCATTTCTTTTTTGCGTCTGAGTCAAGTAAAATATTTATTTTGAAATTTACAATTAAGAGATACCGCAAAACACAAGTTTTCTCATTTTTATTTCATTCCAGCGTTTACATGATGCAGTTTGTAAGGCAGAGAATAAGTCATGTTCTCGAGAAAAATCCAAAATTAAAGTGTATACTTTCGCTCAGTGAAGCCTTAAATCAAAATTCAAAGCGTCCCCCATTTAAAACGCAATTTTATAATACAAGGCATTTTTATGCGAGTCATTTTTTCCACACCCAAGAAATTGTGCGAAATGATTTTATTATTTTGTGGGTCTTTCATTGCGCGTGGAATTGTTATGTACAGTATCTGAATGCTGCTGCGTTACTATTGCACTTGTTTCGAATTGCAATTCGGGGGAGTCATCAGTTATTTCTTCCAAATACGCATTCTTTGAAAGTCATCATCCAATTATAATCTCAATCCAATTTTTAAAACTTCATGTCATAAATCCATCACCATTGCTAGAAACTCCCCTGAAAAAGGCGCAGACTTTTGGGAATTTAATTTCATGAAAAGCACCTCGAAACGGATTGTTGCTGCTCTACTATTGCACTTGTTTTGGATTGAAATTTGGGGGAATCATCAGTTATTTCTTCCAAATACGCATTCTTTGATAGTCATCATCCAATTACAATCTCGATCCAATTTTTAAAACTTAATATCAAAAATCTATCGCGATTGCTAGAAACTCCCCTGAAAAAGGCGCAGACTTTTGGGAATTTTATTTCATGAAAAGCACCTCGAAGCGGATTGCAATACGTTTTTCCGACCACCCATTTCGTTGGGTCATGTAACAGTAAATGCCATCACTGGTTTCACACAGCCAAATAAAGAAATATGAGGAAAAGTCAGTCAAATGAGGGAAAACAACAGCAGTCGATCTTCTTATTCAGAGGAAATGATAACTGTTTTATGCCTTCTACCCCATTCTCTCCGGAATCACATTCCTTTCTGTATGCGTAGGACGCCTTGCATAAGGAACGAACGGGTCCGTCATTCATCAGTATTTGTGGGGTTGCTTATCACTCCGTAATTGGAGCCACGTTCCGAGGTCATCCAAGCCCCAGCAACGAGGCCGTATAACAGGATTGTGCAAGCATTTTCTGCGCCATGGGGGAATGAAAATGCAAGTGAAGGATCCAGGAGATCGAAATGATTTGGCCACGGCTCGAAACTGAAATTTGCATCCGGCAAATTTCTGCAA